AAAAAAAAAAAAAAATTCACAGAAGAGATAGTCAAGTAAGTTATAAAATAAGTTTCCACTTGCCATATTTTCTTTATCTTAAAGTTTGGGGCTATTTAAAATCAAGCATTATGAACAATTCCTTGGCCATCTCTAGCTGTATTAGTTTGCAATGCCTGCGATGATAAAGCACCATGGACTGGATGGGTTAGACAAGTTTATTTTGTCACAGTTCTGGAGTCTGGAAGTCCAAGATCAAGGTATTGTCAGGACTGACTTCTTCTATGATCTCAATTGCTGATTTGCAGATTGCTGACTTCTCTTCCCTTTGTCTTCATATTATCTTTCTTCTGTGTTATCTGTATCCTAATCTCCTTTTATAAGCACAGCGGTCATATTAGATTAGCCCATCTCAATAACCTCATTTAATCTTAGTCTCCTTTTTAATGCCTGTCTCCAACCTCAGTCACATTCTAAACTACTGGAAGTTAGAATATCATCATAAAAATTTAGGAAGGATATAATTCAGCCTATACTGCTAGGTATTGCTTAAGAATTGTCCTTGTTACCTGGATTAGAGACTTTATCAATAATAATATCTGCATATTTTTTAAAAAGACGTAAATCATTCCTTAATGAGAGTTTCTAGAAAATTTTCAGAGTTGCACGGACAAAATCAGTCCTAGAGAAGTAATTTTCTAGCCTGCTAACTGAGAAGCTGATCAGGTCTCTTTATTCCATATCTCTGAGAGATTAATATTGATGTAAATTCCAACTTGGTCTCTGTCACCCATAGGCTTACTTTTTTTAAAAGTCAAAATACTATGGCACTTGAGGAGGTGATGATGCCTCTATGGCAGCAGTTAAAGCAGTTGTTTCTCACACAGCTAGGTCTCCATCATGATCACAATCTCATGCTCACAACTTCTAGACAAGCTGAAATGGCATTTGAGAACACAGCTTTGGGAATTGCTTTCCTACAAACCCAAAGTGTTATAAAGAAAGACGATGATGAACTATAATACACCTGTAGTGAATCTATCTGAATGTCGCTCAGTGATAGCTGTCAAAAGAAAACGTTAACAAATTTTGATCCTGAAGTCCACATCAGAGCATTTGCCATACAAAAAAAGTATGTATATTTGTATTTTATACAGGTACACACACACATGTATGAGGCACACATGGTGGACACAGAATTCACTCACAGCAATATTTATACTATAAAAGATTTAAAATAATTTAAGTGTTCATTGTAAGAGCATGATTAGATAAAACTGATACATACATATCATAGAAAAATGTCCCACTGGTAGAAATAGTTATACTACTCCTTTTGTCAATGGAAAGTTATTCAGACCAATCCTCTCACTGAAAACAATTTCAAATGCAGGATAAAACATTTAAAATATGTATAGTTTAAGCAAAAGAAGACAAATGAAAATGAAATCTGAGCAAAGACAGGAACCCAGAGACATAACAGATTGCCACAGCCACTTGCATCCTGTATCATGTGTTAGTCCCAGCAACATTGAATTTCCATTTGTCAGGATAAAAGGAAAGAAATTAAAATCCATATCAGGTGCCACATCCTGTGCAGCTTTCAATGTTCCTGGGGAGAAAGATGGCAAGAGAATAGAGAAATGAAGATAAGAGACAGAAAGCTGAGGTCAGGTGGAGCCCTTTTTTCAAATGGGAGGAAAGGAACTGTTCAACCACCTTAGTGCATTTACTTATACATTTGACAGGTTGGTGTTACATGATACTCCTTTGCCTAGCAGCCCATTGCTTGGATTGTCTCAGGGCTTGGTGCTCTCTGGACTGAAGCAGCTTGATCACTGAGCTTGCCTCTGGTGCTCTTTGTTCTGGGAACAGGCTTGTGTTGCCCCTGCACATGTGATCAATTTCCAGCCTCAGCCACTCCCTACAATCAGGTAGAAAATATAATCTGAAAACCTGCTCAATAAAAAGGCACCTCATGAAGAGGAAAAGGGAAAAAAATCTTCCTAAAACAGGAAAAAAAATTTTTTTCCCTAAAGTGGAAAAAAAATAAGTTACCTCAGGATAGCACTGAACCACAAATAAAATCAATACCCTGTTCCCAGGAGAAAGCAAAAGAAGTTGCCTTCATACTGGGCTAAGCAGGGGGAAACCCATCCTGAAAATTTTTCAACCTCAAAGTGGTCTTCACAGAGATTTTCACCTCAAACTGATATCATATAGCTGGTCCAAAAGAATCTCAATCTGTGAATTTAGCCTAAAGTGATTATAGACTATTGGCATGGATTTTTAATATGGCAATAGGAAAGGCAAATCCTCTGCAGAGGGGCGTCTTTCCTGTTGGCTCCAAGAATTGCCCCATATACTTTTTCAAGGGCAATAAGGAGCAAATACCCAAAGAAATTAATCATGAGGAGCAAAAATAGCAGAAACAACAGAATGTATAAATAGACTCATAAATAACAGGTACTGGAATTATTAGACACAAACTTGAAAATGTGCACTAATACTGAAAACATAAAAAGTGATCTAGTATTTTTGAAAAAGAACTAAATTAAATGTCTATAAATGAAAGTAGTAACTCAAATTAAAAACCCAGTGCATCAGTTTAACAGCATTATACATAGCACAGATTAAGAAGCATAGACCATATAGTAAGGTGTGGTGCTGTGTGTCTATAATCCCAGTACTCTGGAAGGCTGAAGCAGCCTGGGCAACTTAGTGACTCAAAAAGACCCTCAAAAATATTTTAAAAGAACTGATGATGATTTTCAGTGTAAAGACTCTGGGTCTGATCCCCAGTGCTGAAAAAGTTGTTAAAGCATGGACTATAGATAATAAGATCTAACATATGTTTAACAAAAGTGATATTTTAATGGATTGAAAGTAGCTGCCAATGCAGAATTCTGCATATTTCTCAGTGATAATAGCTTTCAGAAATGAGGACAGTAAAGACCTTGACATAGGCAAAACCACAATTTATTATTAGCCAAGCCTCATTCAAAGAAATTCTACAAAAGATGCTGTAATCAGAAGAAATTAGATAGAAGATTAGAGGTATAAAGAAGAGTTACATGTATAAGAGGAAAGACAGAAAGAGTGAAGACATAAGTATTGCAAGCAGAGGACAAAGGATACTTGCCTGGTATATATGAGGCTCTGGGTTCAATTCCTAGTACTGTTTTTAAAAAATAAAGAATGAGAAAGAGGGAAGGGTTGATGGGAAATAAGACAGAAATTTAGACATCATACTTGGGCGAACCCAGCCCACTCCTATAGCAGTCCCACACAACTTCCAGAGAAAGACTGACAGTTGTTTAAATGTAGAGCTCATCATTACATAACTAAATTCACCAGTTAAATAAGAAGGGCCAGTGATGTTAATTTGCAGGCATGAGTGGTGGGGGCTGTCAAACATCCTGGACTGATAATATGGCAAGGGAAATAAAAATGGAAAAACTACCAACAATTCTATGTAAAAATGGCTGTGAATCTTGATAAAAAGTGAGAATTTGCAGCCCATATATGTAAATAAAAGAGTGAAGGGATGAAAGCAACATCTACTCACATAGGCTGGCCAGCCATGGAACTGGACTGAAGAAGTGGGTGGGTCTTGATGTAGTCACCTCTTCTCCGGGTCTCCTCCTCAATTCCACAAGTCCCTATCATCAATTTGTCAGTGGTCCCCAAAGCAAAGATACTTTTATAGTTTAACTTTTGGCTGCCCGTTCACTACAGCACAGTCTCTCCAGCGTTCAGCATCCTTGCTTCCAGCTTTAAGGTCTCTGATGCCAGAGTCAAGGTGAAATAGACAGAAATATTGGTATTACCTTGTATGTGGTTTAAGAAACTGGGCAAGGGATTTCTGTGAGTTGAGTTAGTCATCTAGAGATCAGGAGGAGAGGAAGGTGTTTGGGGACTATGCTCACAGAGCCCATAAATTTTTGAGTCAGAGCAAATTATCTGATTAAAGCACTTGTTGCCCCTTCTCTGAAAACTCTCAAAGACACCGGCTATTTGAGCAATGTGGTACCTCATAGACGTGGGTAGGGAAGAATCCTCTCATCTGTAGCCATAAATAGGTATCCTATCTGTCTTGCTGCCTCTGATCACTTGGATAAAATATGTCCCCAAAAAAGTTTATTGTTTTGAAGGCTTGGTTGCTGGTAGGCTTTTGGGAAGTCATTGCGTCATGAGCTCTACATTCATAATTTTTGGGGGCGGGGGTGGGGTTTGGATTTTTTTTTCTGGTACCGGGAATCGAACTCACAACCTTGTGCTTGCCGGGCAGGCACTGTGCCACTGAGCTAAAGCCCCAGCCCCCTACATTCATAATTTGATGACACTACTGGGGAGGTGAAAGAAACAGCAGACAGGGCCTAGCTACAGGGAGTGGATCATGGAAGCATGTCCTTCGGAACTAGCTCTGGTCCCTGGCCCCTTCTTTTCTAGCTCCTTCCCTCTCTACTTCCTGGCTGCTATGAGATGAACAGCAATCCTCTGACATACCCTTTTTAAATTAGCTCAGGTTTGCAGTACATAATAACTGCATTCCTCATGGGGAGTTAGACATGTACATACCACATTTTAATTCTTTTTTCATTCCCTTCCTTTTTCCTCCCTCCCCTCGCTTCATTACTTTATCCCCTTCCTATTTGCAAAAGATCTACTGTGGACACTTGAGTTACAACCAGCCTCACATATGAATGACTTGGGTTAAGACCATAATTTTAGGTTAAACTTAGGACCAATGTTTTAGGTTATGACCCAAATGCCAGCCTTTTTTGCAGTTGTAAAGAAAGATTCATGATGCCAGAAAACTGTATGTAAGCATACGTGTCAGTCTGAGCCCAGATGCACATGTTTGTGGACCTGATTGCAGTCAGTTCTTTATATAATCACTGCAATTATTGCTATCAAAATGGCACTCAGAAAGCTAGAAGAAAAGCTAAGAAAAGACAAGAAGGTAAAGAAAGCAATTACAATTGAAAAAGAACAGTGTTAAAGACAAACAATGTTTGACCAGTTTTTAGTTCTGAAAAGGTTGAGACCTAGTGTGCCAAAAGTAGGTCCTAGTGGGCTTCAGACTCTCCCTAGGAGAAAAAGGACACCAGAAAGCCAGATTCCTGATATTCTTATGGAGTGGGACTCTTCTTTCAAACAATAATCACCTTCTACTTCATCCTCTCTTCCTGCAAGCCAAAGATGTCAACTTGAGTGGTGAGTACAGTATGAAATTGTTGTTTCTGGGAGCTAGGCACATTTTATAACCTTTTGGTACTTACACTAGGAAAATTATTGGTGTTTCTGGTAAATTATGCACATTATACAATTTTATATTGTGAAAAGGTTAGTTGAGGGGTGCTTTGGGAGGTTCAGAATGCATTATGGGTATTTCCATTAATTCTTATGGAAAAAATAGTCTTGACTTACAACCAACTTGAGTTATAAGCAGCCTTTCAGAACTAATTGAGTTCCTAAGTCAAGGGTCCACTGTATCTCCCTACTTCCTACTGTCTATCTTTCATTTTGTTCTTCATTTATATTTCAGATTTCTCATATAACAAAAATTATGCAATATTTAAGCTTGTGTGTCTGATTTATTTTCCTTGTGTGTCTGATTTATTTCACTTCACATTATTTTCCTACAAATGATTCAATTATCTTTCTTTATGGCAGAGTAATACTTCATTGTATACAAACATCTTATTTTACCTAGCCATTCATCTGTTGATGGCCATATAGGCTGCTTCCAAGATTTAGCTCTACAAAGTTGGCTGCTGTAAACATGAGTGTGCATGTATCCCTATAATATGATGTCGTTAACTGTTTTGGGAAAACACCTAGAAGGAAAATAGCTGAGTTGAATGGAATTTCTACTTTTAGTTTTTTAAGGAATATGCAAACTTAGTTTCATAGTGGTTATACTAGCATATATTCCTACCAATAGAATATAAGTGTGTCTTTTCCCTTTCAGCCTCACGAGCAATTTGTTACTATTTGATTTCTGGATAATAGTCATTCTTCCCTGAGTAAGAGGGACTCTCACACTGCTTTAATTTGCATTTCTCTATGACACACCACTTTGCCACAATGCTTCTGCCTCACTAGAGGCCTCAAATCGATGCTATAGACTGAAACCTTTCCTCCTTCAAGCTATTTACCACAGGAACTGGGTCACAGTGACAGAAATCTGACTGGCACTCAGCCACTTCAAAATCTGAATTCCTCATTGTGGCCTCCTCTGGGTCTCCCAGAAATGATCTCTCCTGAGTGAGGAATAAATGCTACAGTCAAATGATAGTCACAAGAATCAGAAATGAGCTGCTACTTTCCCCAGGACTTTCCCCAGTGTTATCACTGGAAGTCTCTCTCCAAGGAAACCTCTCAGTTCCAGGCAAACTGGGGCAGCAATGACCACCAGTGTGGCCATTCTGCTGTCTTCTTTTTTTTTCATTTTTAGTATTTTTTGTTTTTTCCAATCCTCTTAGAATCCAGATGACTTTAAATTCATGAAACAAGTATGATTCAATAGAATTCAAATAATAAGAATAAACCAAGAGTGATGGTGCACACCTGTAATCCCAGTACTCGGGAGGCTGAGGCAGGAGGATTATTGCAAGTTTGAGGCCAGCCTGGGCTACAAAGTGAGCTCAAAGTCAGCCTGAACTGCATAGCAAGACCCTGTCCCAAAAAGACAAAAAATAATAAGAAGAAAGATATCAAACTATATGTACATAAAGATATCAAGCTATGTATATATAGTTTGATCTCTTCTCTCTCACATATATGTATATATATATCATATCTCTGTGTGTGTGTGTGTATATATATATATATATATATGTATCCTTGTGCTGGCCACTATTCTAAAAAGTCTGTCCATTAAATAGTTTATCCATGGAGAGTTATTTAATCTGTCATAACAACTTAATTTCTACTCTATTTCATGGATGAGAAAACTTAGCCCCCAGATCACAGAGCCAATATTTGGTAGAACTGGAATTCAAAGCTAGGTAGTCTAGTGTCAGGGAGCACATATTTAACAATTGTACTCTATTATATATTTTGTTATATCATAGTTCCCGCATAAGTTTTATTTTCTAAGTGTATTTTCTATACTCTCTTCTTGTATTTCTTCTGTCTGTAATCCTTGCTAGGGGTATCTTAATTCAGAATCACTTATAAGAATATCTTTTATTTCTCCTCATTCATTCATTCATTCATTCAATAAACATTTTCAGTGTGCCTACTATACACCAATCCACCCTTAAGATCTTGCAATTTACCCGGAATGTAAATAGTTACATAGATACTAGAACAGTGCAGAAGTTCCCAAATTTTCTAAGTTTGTGTTGGTTAGCATTTCAATAATATCTTATGGTAGCCCTAAGTCAAAAGAAATGCCTAGTAGTTTTATTTATTAGTGTAGTTCTAAACAATTTAATAGTATTGGTTGATGTGGTATCTGAAACATGTCTCATATGTCCCTCAAAAGATCCTATAGTGCATTTATTCCCTGCCACCCTCTGGGGGACCACAGTTTGGGATCTATGGGCAGAATGGTTAAGTGCTCAGCGCCTTGAGTTAGTTTCTTGGATTCAAGTCTTGCCCCCTTCCATTCAAGTGTGAGATTAGTTATGCAATGAGGCTTCTCGGAACTTTAGCTTTTGTTACGTGTGCAAGGAATTATAATAACTGCTATGACTTGGATGTATTCCCCAAATGCTCATGTGTTAAAGGTTTCATTGCATCTGGAGGTTTTGAAAGGTGATGGAACCTTCAAGAAGTGGGACCTAGTGTGAGGAAGTTAGGTCACTGGGGAGGATACCTTTGTGGCTACTGGGGCCCGCCTGGTCCCTTCCTCTCTTTCCTTCTGGCTACCACAAAGGGAATGGTTTCTTCTGTCATATGCTGCCACCATGATGTGCTTCCTGGCCACAGACCATGGACTGAAGCCCCCCAAACTGTGAACTAAAATAAACTTTTCCTTTTTATAAACTAATGCAAGTTTTTTGTCACAGTGATAAAAAGCTACTTAACACAATAGTCATCTCATAAAGATGTGGCAAGAATGTAATAAATACATATAAAGGAAGAGTTAGGAAAAGTTGACATTGGATCATTAAAACATAAGCTCCATTGGGCTAAGACTTAGGTCTTTTTGTTTATGGTTTTATCCCCAGTGCCTACACAGTGCCTGACACTGTTCTACTTTTTCTGTTCTTGCTTTTAATTAGATCACAGGGAAGGAAGTCTTAAACCTAATGTAACTGACAGGGAGCAATCCTCAAAGGAAGTAAAGACAGCAAGTAAGAAGTAGTTGAGAAGTAGGAACAAGATCTGGACTCAGCTCCTCCGTGGAAGCTCTGTCTTCAATGTGGAAATGAGAGGTATGGAGACCTTTGTATAGTGCTTCTGGCACTAGATGCATCCTCAGTTGTAAGCAAGCCTTATTTGGGGTCTCTCCCTGCAGGTTCTATCAGTGACTCCCTTCTGTGCTATCTTAGTGTCACCAGTGAACTCATCACCCAGGCAATGTGGGGCAGTTGGAGTGGGCGGGCCCTCCCACAGGACCAGTGCCTGTGACCAACTTTTACCGAGACAAGCTAGGTCACTGTCTTCTACTGCTTCTGCTTTCCACCACTTCTGTCCTCTCTGGTGACCTATACCACTTCTCTTTGTCCCAATGATTAGCTTCTTTTTAAAAAAATTTCAGCTGCTCTATTATTTTTCTACTTTATTTTCTTGAGTCTACAGTTCAGTGGTTTTAATTTTAAAA